CCATTGAAATTTTGCAATGAAATATCCAGGGATACATTTGAAAAATCGCAATGAAATGCCCAGGGTATCTATTGAAAAATCGCAATGAAATATCCAGGGCTGCATTTGAAATTTTGCAGAAAATGCGCTGGGTATCTATGGAAAATTCACTATGAAATACCCAGGCCTACATTTGAAATGCCTTTCAAAAAATCCTAAGCATTATAGATATGGCCTCTAGGCTTAAGTCTAAGTTATAGAAATGACTCTCTAGGCTTAAGTCTAGGTTATAGATAAAAGTGGTAGCCACCAGTCAGGGAGTCCTGAACTTGAAGTCAGACCAAAATTCACCTGCCATCTAAGTAATAAAATACCTTTGTAGTAAGTTTATAACCTTGGCTTTGAAGAAATTCTTCAACCGTGTTGCACCATGCAGTGGCATTGGGGGAAATATGAAGAAAAAGTCGCGACACGAATTCTAAAACTCGAATATCAACAGCCAGGGAAGGGGCAAATGGTGCCGAGGGAAATAATCCGCGTTGGAGCAGCTGGACCGCAGCCGGTCGACATTTGCAAAATTGAAGTTTCAACCTTTCAAGAACTGGAACGCACTTGTTAGTATCTCAACGCCTAACAGGAAAGACACATACCGCAGAAACGAACTACGATAACCTCTAATGCTCTTGTGATACATTGACAGGTGAGGGTGGTGGCGAAAGCATCCTCGGGGATCGGCAGGCGAAATGATTCTGTCTGAGAAACGAGCCGCATGTACGGCATAATGAGGCGAGGGATCACTTCAGATTTCCAACGAATGGTTTGATTTTCACGTTTTCGTCGGTGATTAGAGACAGGAGAAGCAGCAATGTTGGCGGAAGGAGACGAAAAGAACATGATGCCACTTGGATCATCGAGATCGCCAGTGACATCAGCGGTTTGCGAGCCGTCCGCGGAGAGTGATGAGCAGCTATTGAGGGGTCGATCACCTGCGAAGCCAACCTGTCCTGGCAATGGCTTGAGATTTCTTTGCTGGCTAAACGTTCTCTCGTCTGGTAGGAGGACCAGTGGACGAATTCCACTTGGCCTGGAGAGGTAGTGGACAGCTTTGCCGCTTATCGGGGTGTAAGATAATGGGCTCGAGGATGGAGTGAAATTTTTTGGGATGCGAGGTCGCATGTCGGGAAGAGGTTGGAAGAGGAGGCAAATGTGAATGGAAAGGGATTGGAAAGTTCACGAAGTCGGAAGAGGAGGCAAATGCGGATGGAAGAGATCGGAAACTTCATGAGCGGCAGTCGACACAGGAGGGTGGCCCACATCTGCTAGCCACATCACGCGGAACTATGGCCACTCGCCCATTGTCTGCCCAAAACGGTTCAAAATGTAGTATTTGTTACTCAGATACAAGCCACGTTCTACGAGATAGAAAGCAGGCGACGCGTAGTCAACCTGGAATGACCGACGCAAAGTCAAGTCTGACATTTGAGTGAATCTATACCTCCACGAATTTTTGGATAGGAAAGCGTCAAAGCGGTTTTGTATCTCTTGCAAGAAGGAGGCAAATTGGCGATGTCTCGATTGCTTTGCCGGCACGGCATATTGTGCAGAATGTTGCCGAACATCCCACTGCAGGGACCCTTTCCACCGGATTGAACGTTGGACCGGCACCTTTTATGAGCCGAGCTGGCTGTGGAAAGTGGGTTTGGTTATTCGACTTGGTCACGAAGGTGATCGGTGCCCGAATGGAAGCAGCAACTTGAGTGCCGACCTTGACATTGACGAAGAGGAATGGTTTGACATGGAAGACCTTACCAGCACTTCGGCCGATCCAAAACCAACGGACCGTATTTACAATGGTGGCCGGGTCATGACTGTCATCCATACTTCCGGTGTACATCACCTACCTATCGTCTTCTGTGGATGTTCTGGTGCAGCAGCCGAGGACATACAGTTGTTCCGGGTTGGGTTGTACCCATCCACCTACAAGTCTTGCCAGACCGTATTTACCTTCCAACTCCTCAATGACTACCTGCTGGAAAACCTGGAATGTAAAACATCGGCCACCCACTACTACTCCAAATTGAGAAGGATCACCAACTTTGCATTTCCTAATTCCATTCCGGTATGTTGTTCAAGTACCGAGGTATACTCCCATCTCAAAACGTTTGACAGAACCGGTATCACGAGTTAATAAGGGTTGGTAGACAATACCGTAATCTTACCGAATTGGCTACTTTTGGATTTGGACACAAAGGTAAGGCTCCGACGCCGGGGGAGATGGGTTTTTTTTGCCCTACCTGCCCACAACCGGGAGTCAACCTTCCTGATGACTGGAACAAAAACCCCAATGATCCTACTAACTGGAAGTATACCAGAGGATTTGTAGCCGATGGCAATTTCACAGCAGCCCACCAAAAACAGGCACGGCCCAAAGACGATGTTTGGCTTAAAAATGGGGATAGTTTCATGACGCAAAGAGGACCTTATTTGAGCCACCTTCGGGACGCGATTGAAGATAATGATGTAAGTTTTTATCCTTCGAGCGACTCGGCCGGTGTCTGAATCTTTCAGCCGAGGACATGTCATGAGCACAATGCTATCAACAACAAGAATGTATTTCACCGAGGTTTTGACGCTACTGGAATTGGAGCCATTGCTTGCCTTCGACATGGCACCTTTTGTCCGGGTTCGGTGGTAGATTTTCAAAAGGGAGAAAGGTATGGAAGTTATCCTGAGGTTGAATCGTTGTTTTACCGAACAGGCAAATGAACATGGACTATGCCTTGTGCCAGGCTCTGAAGAATACCATGACCGGTGAAGAAAAAAGGGTTATATTTGTCTATGACATCAACTGCCAGTATATGGTGAATTTGATGGCTCGGATAAAACGTGGTGCGAAACACCTCTGGATCAGACCAGACTTGTTATTGGTAGCCGGGATCGGCTTATTCCATGTCCATGGCCATCAAGAAATATGCTTTCCACGATTTGCCCCAACATTCATCCCCAGGGCTGGTCAAACAGATGGAGAGATATTGGAGACTTTGTGGGCTGTTCTCAACGAGGTCGGTCACACCACCCGGACAATGACTTTGGCCCATAGATCGGAGGTGTTGGATGCTCACATGCTGGATAATAACTGGAAAAAAATGATCAATATGGGTATCTATTTTCAACTGCTTTTACATTGCTTCTAAGCTAATAAACGTCAAGTGAGTAGCCTTTGCAAGAAGTGGAAGCGAGGAAAACTCGGGCTCTCTGAGAGCTTCCAGGCTCTTGAAGAATTAAGTGCCTCAGCAAGTAAGGAACAGATTCAAGAATGGGAGCAACAGATCAAAACGGCAAATTTGAATCGGGCAAAGGACCTTTCCGCCATGGACATCTATTACGTCAAGGTCAAGGAAGGTAAGGACCAAGTTTTCCATCACAAAGGCCAGCTGTAAAATCATTCAATCAGCCGAGACCGAAAAGGGCATTCGGCTAAAACTTATGACTAAAGAACAGGCAGGCAAGGTCAAGCCAGGGTTAACTGGATGGGTAAACACCGGTATCAAAATTCAGGAAGCCCAGTGAGTAAAGTCAAATATTGCTAGATTCAAACATTGAACAATCCAGAGCCGAATTGGCTGCCTTTGTGAAGGCTCAAGGCAGTCGTCCAAGTGCCGATCAGAAGCTGGAGATAATGAAACGTCGAGAGAAGCTGTCCAAGCGACTTGAAGAGTTTTCCGAGGCCGGTCAAGGCCATTTTCCCAACTTGGAAATTAATGAAGGAACTATTCATGATCCACCGCTCTCGGAGGATATTGTGGATGACGATGACTGGAGCGATTGTGATGAAGAGGAAACCCCAGCACCGAGCATACCCAGTTTGCCTGATCAGGGATATGGATCGGCCGAACATCAACAAATCCTCTTACCATCCTCATTTCAAGCAGCCCTCCTCCCTACATCACTGGGAGAAGCCCGGTGCGTGGAGATAGAATTGAGAGTGGCCCAGGCAAATAACGCTCTGAAGCGTTTACAGGAAGCCATTGGTTACAAGTCATTCCTTTATCGGAAGAGAATTCGAGCCGAGAAATCGAAAAAAAGTGTAACTCGGGCTTACGATGCTGTACAAGGATCGGATCGCGATATGAAAAGTGCTCTCCAGGCATACAACCAAGCTCGATGGGCTCTTAATCAGCTCAATGCTCCTCAGGGCACTCGTGACCGATACAAGCCGATAGGGAAAAAAGATACAAGGGCACTAACTACGGTATACGATGGCAACGCCCGGGGTCAAAGAAATATTGCTCTGCCATGGTTCTGGAATATGGCTGTGGCTGATGATTCGTCGGGTTCAACATACATGGAACAAGGTCAGATCCAGTCACTTTTATTACTCTACATGAATTGAAACCAGACAAATCAAAGTATATCGGGTGAATTGGCTCAGAGCAAAAGCTCGATATGACCGGTGGTCAGAAGAGCATACCTTGATCCCAAACGAAATGAACTGGACCCGCCTCTATTTCATCAACAAAGCAAGGGAGTGGGCTGGGCTGAGGGACTTGGTGCCAGACAAGCCGGGACATGTATGCTTTGCCGAGGGGCAAATCAGTATGTGGAAAGAACTGGCCTTCCAGGCCACCAAAGAATTTATAAATGCCGGGGTCATGTGCGAGGCCATTGCATTACCTAATCCTAGTTGAATCAAACTATTCTTTCTCATTGTCCACCATGTATGCAAAAGAACACCTGTCATTTGACCCCCGCCGAGCAGAGCAATGGGTTGACGAGGTGCTGAAGATACGGCCTCCAGCTTTTACCAGAGATTCTTCTGTAGTGGCTAATCTCCTCTGGAAGGACGACCAAGAGTTCCAGGAGGTACTCTGCTACTGGTCCTCTCGATTCAGAGCCATTTTGACATCGAAGCTCGAAAACCCCATTGACCCCAAGTTCGAGAATTGTTGGTTGGAGTACATGTCGGCCGAACTGGTGAGCTTTATTTTGCCGCGCCCGGCTAAACTCATTCCTTTGGTTAGGGTTTCATTATAGCGACTCTCGGCATGGCATGCGCCTATGGGCATAAAGTAAAACTTTGCCCCAGATTTTTTCTCTTTGAGCTCACCTTCCTGCCAGTTTATCGTCCCTCCCTTTTTAAAGTCCTGTCTCCAGGGTAACCCACTGCACCCTCAGGAAGCCTTCATGGATGACTGTATCCGGCCTGCATACGAGTTTGCGTGGTGGAATACTCGCATCACCTTTCCACCAGGGGGCATCGACCAACTTCTGAAAAGGTCATACAATTGGTTCAGATGGATGGCAAAGGGTGGTTTGCCAATCAAGTACCCGGACACTGAGACCTCCACGCTGACACCGGCCGAAGTTCAGCACATCAAGACCCAGTTGGAGAATGCTCGGGATCGTCTCCTTGAACGTATCAAGCGTGCTGAGGCCGAGGAAGAGTGGGTCACCAATGAGATTTCGGTTTGGGAGGAAATTGTACAGCAGTCTGCTCTTATTGACCTAATGAGGTATCACAAGAACCGGTTTTCAGCACATAGAAACCCAGGTGGAGAAAGCCCGGGATCGGGTTCGTCAAGCCCCCCGTCTCCTTGAACATATTGGTGCTGAGGCCGAGCAAGTTTGGGTCGGATTTGTAATTCATTATTTATTAGTTACCAGACAAATTATATATCAAGTCTGCCATGGTCAACCACTGAGGCCTCTTCACCCCAAGCCTTTCCCCAACCTTTTTGTGCCAAAAGTGAGCTAAACAGGCCCGGTCACCCAGCACAGGACAAACACCATGTTGTAAAACATTGCCGGCCAAGGCAACAACCGTCCCAGGGTCATAAACAAGGCTAAACCCGAGCCCGGCCAAGTGACACCGGCCTCCTGTGTAGTTTCCGATGGTGAGCAACAAGTCAAAAGA